TGATACACTAGATTTAGAGTGCGTGAACAGATGATATTGCTTTTGAACTAGGATCCAGTATTGGTTTGGAATACTATAACCTGGGCCATAAATTATTCTGAGCACTGGAATGCCTGAGGCTGATGGATTGATGTATGACAGGGGTATCTATCTTCTATCACGCCACTAGCTATGCATTTATGAATGATATCATTGGTTTGCGGATCTTCGGCCTTCATAACATGCAGCCATCCCGACCCTTCGATCTATATGGTCGGTGAACGAAATATTCCAAGAAGATCAAAACCACGTCGTGTAAATACTGTTTCATATGTTAAGTGATTGGTAGAGCTTCTAAAAAACTCCTGAGTCTGGTCTGATCTTCATGTAGAAGCTAATACGTAGCACAACACTTTTATACTGAACATGAAAAACAAAAAGCGGATAGTTTTTAGTGAATAGTTCATCATTGCGAAAAGAAACTTTGCAACGAGAAGCAACGCGCGTCACATAAAACTCATACATGGATGAACAAATTCTAAGGAATCAAAGAAAATGAAGATGCGAGCATTCAACATGCGAACAAATACGAACTGTGTTCCGTCAGTTTTAAGAGGTGCCGAAGAAATCTTTCTATCATGAAATTCTCAGTAATAAGTTCACAAGAGGCGTCGTGCACTTTTTGAGAAAACTCAAATGGTAAAGCTCTGTGACATCAAGGAAATCAACCTTGGAAAGTGGTTAATTATTTCTGGCTTAAGTTGAGGATTTCGTCTTCAAGAATGTCCTCACCGCTTGAAGTTGGTTGAATGTCAAAAAGCCTTGCGGGCAACCTGAACTAATACCTCGGTGACAACTATTTTATTTATGGAAAAGCCTCTACAGCTAATAGCATACCTTCAAATTTTGATTTTCTGAGACGAAAACAAACACAAACCACCAAGAATATATCGTTGTCACTAGTTGAGTGAAAGAAATTTTCTGAGTTATAAATCAGCGTAGAATCTATGTTCACAACTCCTTCTACAACCAAAGAATAAGTGTTTTCGAAAAACATGGCAGGGAGGAAAGCTTGAAGCTTTTCTATCTAAATGTTATTTCCCGAGCAAAAAACCTTTTCCTGAAGGCGTTTGAGCTACTCCTCCTTGGCCTAAACAAGATAGCATACACTCCAGGACAACATTAACTTCTCACTCGCCCTAACAAGCTAATAGAATCAGGTTGTATTTCGAGCTGCTCTCCAAGGTTTTCCAGCTCCACACTCCATTGTATTTATCCACAACAGTACAACTGTAGAATTTTGAAGAACAGTCCATTTGTCGAAGAATTCAGTATCATCTCTATTTCACTCGGCCGTACTAATGAGAACCCAGACCGAGTCATAAGTTAGCGATGTGGTCAGGGTTTAACGTTGACACCGAAAAACATTCGCTGGCATGAAAAAAAAATTGCTGGCATGAAACTTAGAAGAGCACCTGTAACGAAACGTATGCTGTGACAATGTAGGGTTCGACTTCTACGATGCACTCTTCGATCGATGTAACTTTATATGATTATCTATATGATGCGAGAACACTATCCGAGATTTCGCGCAGACCACCGTGAAGATTCGGGCACACATCCCGCTACATTGTCACGGAGGTTCCTCCGCAGAAAGGTTATCCGAATACAAGGTAGTTATTTGAGACCAACCTTCCGTTCCGTGTTGCAACGGTACTCATATGGCTTGAGCTTATTTCGGCCGTGCTAGCTCGACGACGAGCGAATCTATCTTGGAAATTCTGAGTGCAGTATCATAGCTGAAGGAACTCAGTAATATACTATCACCTCCATTGATGAACTTCTTGGGCAAATTCATTTGAATCATTTACAATTATACTCGGAAAACACATTTTTTGAAGCTTAGAGATGGGAGGATAACATGTTCCATCAGCTGTTTTACCTAACATTGCGATGGCTACTTCATGCAAGCTCAAAAACGTCTCCAACCATCAACTCGCAGTTGCGAGCATTGAAGCATAGTTTTCGTTTCTCCACGGTAGAAGAGAGTTTTCTGGTCGCGTATTGACTGTGAAATACCCGTGTACCTGGTCTATGAATAATTATAAATCAAATTCAAGGCACAGTTCACGATAATTTTGAGGCACCCTTTTTTCGCCGAAAAGCGGAAGTATAGGTTGGGAATAGTTCATTGGTAGTTAAGAAAGCGAGAAAATTCGACGAGTTATAGAACAAAAGGTTCCCCAAAAGTAGGGATAGAGGTTTGATGAGATTACCATGACGCAAATGACATGGAAGGCGTACTCGGACGAGATTTCGGTTGTTGCAATTGCGCAAAGAGCTGACTACATCATGCCAGGACTGTGCAGAACTGCCTTTCACTGCCCCTATGGGTCATAACAAGTTGTTTGAACTTCCTACATGGGTTCCCTTGTGAGCGGTGCAGTCTCTACAATGCCGGTGAAACTCGTCCGCGGGTACACACAGCCAATCTTTGAGCTTTTATAACGCACTAACTAAGCCGTTTTTGAACATGATAGCGCCAGTCGTGGTATAAGAGGGCCTTAAATTCATTCTATGGGGAAATCCTAGGAACCATTTTTATCGCGAACTGGGCTTCTAAATAATCAGACGACCACACTTCAAGACAAATGTTCGAAGTACTCAATAAATGCGCGGTTACTCAGTTGCCTGTTGTTGGTTCTGCTCTTTCTCTTTTTCCTAACGACAACGTTTTGCCTTTGATTACCGTTTTTGAACCGCATCCATAGCGTAGCCTGGGACCTTCTGTGTAGCTAATAAGTAGCCAGCATATTAGATGAAATACACGTCGGCGCAACTGCACTACATTTACGGTTCACTATGTGACGTGATCTCATTGACTCCACGATGCTAGTTAGCTAGCTGCTAGCCTTGAGTCTGGATATTTGAAGCAGATGATTCTAAGCAACTGCTTTTAGTCACTTCAGAGAGAGGCAAACATATGTAGGGGTATTACCTGATCGGAGATGCAATTATGAAATTATATCATGATAACAAGCTTAGTGTTCTGACGAAGATGCCTTCTTAGTCAGTGTGGTACAGCGCAACGTAAACATTCGAAGATATACTAGTGCAAATGTTGGTGGATAGGAAGATTTCGATAGCTCATTAGCACAACAACAATCATTGCTCCAATACTCTGAGAAACAATCGTCCTCTCTAGGTGTGCACATCCGGAAAAGCAAAACCTAATGGGCATCCTAAGTACAACGTCAAACTATTGAGTACAGACATTTTCAAGAGCTTATATAACTTTCTCATATATGTTGAGAATGAAGAAAAGAAGAACAAGAGCGATTTGTGAGAGTCCTCGTCTCACATTGTTGAATTGTCTTCATTGGGTAAACCAGATCTTGGCACGTCTCCTTTTCACTACTTAGATTTCTGAACGTCAAGATAGGGTTCGCGCTCATCCAAGAATCTTCCTCAGTCATGTAGCCGTAAAACGTTCATAGTACAAGATATAACATCTTATTGCCGTAACGACTGAGATTAAAAGTGTTTCGAATCAACCATCGACAATAAAAAGAGCAACGCTAGGGAAGGCTGAAATGAAAAGCTTCACATTTGGTGATTCTCGGTTCCTGTATTGAGTGCGTAATGGATTCTTAAGAATATATAATCATGTGTTGTAAATTGCTAGTTCGACAACTCGGTACAGGTGCTGTTCTAGAGACCGGAGTCTTAGTGTTAACATGACTGACGGGCACAGCAAGGAATTTATTTCACACCTTTAGATTGTGAGTAATAGTTAGTTTATGATCACGATGTTAACAGTAAGTGCACGAGAAGAGCGCTTCTGAATCAACTAGATGAGACTTACAAAACGGTGGTGTCGACTATAAAATCAAAAACGACAGCAAAGTTGTTTCACATTCCTCAAAATTACATTTCCATGCGTTATTGTGCCACATTAGCGAGTTCTCCATAGCATATATAACTCATATCAAATTTTTTTTCCATTTCTTTCTCTGGCCTCGAACAAGAAGCAAGTGTCTATATGAAGTGCACTGAAGGTCCGATCCTCCGTGTGTCCAGCCTTCAATTTCTCTAATCTCCCCAAGGTTGTCGCAATCAAACACTAAAGGTAATGGCCACCATCCTTGTGATTTATTTGCAACTTTTTCGTGATGTAAAAATGAAATGGTCATCGGTCAAGCCGCATGAGGGTTTTTCGTTCTGTTAGGACGAGAATGGAGCCAAAACAACCCACTTCAATGAAAACATACTTGAATTCCGCGCTAATTTTTCACAGAGAGACAGTAAATTGTAGAGAGCAACATTTTCAATCATGAGACACGTTATTGGAATGCATAACTAAGTCTTCAGACTCCAGTTTTAGTTCTTGAGTGAAGCTATGACTCGCCTAGACGTGACACCCTGAATCCATTTTATTTGCTATGTTGATATATCTGTGGCGCGGGGCCATTCGAATACATGGATCTAACTGTCCGTGCCGTGCTGCAACTACGACATCCACATCTCCCGGAATGATAGCAGAGGCTTTGCTTTGTTTCAGATAATTATAGGTGGCACGGCAATGGAATTGAGAAGAAATATTTCTTCATTGGAATTAGGTGTTTTCCAGTTACTGTTAGCAGCGCCCGCAATTATTTCCCGGTATGCTTTTCGTTACAGCTCACAGATAATCATCATAATTGAACTCAAAAGACAACTCCAATGGAGACACTTAGTTTTGAAATAAATGATTTGAATGCTCCAGAAACAGAGTGGTGCTTCAAAAAAGAGGCATAAGAAAACATATTACATCGTGCGGTTGGTTTTAAGATGATTATCGAACAGTACCGCTAAATTCATAGAAAAAGTAGCAGACGTTTCAGGCAGAATAACTACATACATGTGTGACTATTAAAAAGCACCTGAATTTTCTCAGAGCATCCTCAGCAGTATTGTGTTTTACGCATTGGGGGAGCGAGACGAAAGAAGAGAGCTCGAAGATGGCTTGGCTTCCTGGAAGATTAAAAGCTGTAGATGGAACAGCTCACGAACATAGAGTGGCAGTTTAGTTTCGATTCATGCGGAGTAAGAAAGATGCCGGGTGGTCTTAATAGACCCACTGTCCAGATGCCATTTCACATGGCCAATAATTGAGTGACATCTCAGTTGTAGGCAACAGCATTGCCGCACCAAATTGGATTCGTCAAGCGTACTATGTACAACTGTATTGCCCTAGGAATGCCGCACTGCAAAGGGCATAAGATTTTTTCGTTCTCACTCTTGACGAATAACTTTCAACAAATATTATCTGCTGCAAATCCCTGCTTCTAACATAACGTTCTTATCCAGCCCTGTACCTACCGTCGGAATCTTCAAAATGACAAGGTTGATGTGCTTCTCTATGACGTCTTCGATCCACCTTCCGTTGAAAAGTTCGACCACACACATCACAAGCGAAAGGCTGAAATTTTACTGCAGTGAGCTTCCACGTTGTGTTTCTGTTGCCGATGCTTGGGAGCATTTTATGGTATGCGCAAGAGATGATCATTAGCCATACGGTAACATGCCAACAATTACATACGCAACTATTTTGTTCACTATGCGCTCTACTAACCTTGAATCCTGTATGCTTCCTTGTGTGTGTGATGAGATTTGACGATTGACTAAATGCTTTTCCACATACTGTGCATTTGTGCGGCTTCTCACCTGAATATTACGATTCAAGCGGATTACGTACATAGCGATGATCAGCCCCGTCTTAGGTTTGCATCCTCGCACTCCACTTTCATTCAGAACACGAAGCGTTTTGTTCCTACTCGTGGATGTTGATCAGAGATCCAACCTCCGGACCAAGCGTGTGGTTGTGTCTCCACTTGTAACTACACCAGCTCCAGATTTCGCAAATACATTAATTCAAATGGGGCAAATGCCGGCATACTTTTTCATTACATATTGGAATACCTGGAGTCAACATGAAAAGCCTAGTTTGACTCCAGGTCAAACTAGAAGCTTTATATGTTGTTTTGAGAGTGCCAAATAACCGTGCCAATTTTCTGTCAAGGCAGTGACGTATTAGCCAAAGAGGAAATGCGGACGTTTGGAAGCTCTAATAAATCAGTAATTGACGCAATATTGATGCTAGTAGGGAACAGATGGTAAGAAGGGGAACAGTGAAGAATAATTAAAAAGTGGTGTGTTGTAAATGTCGTAGTAAAAAGAAAAAATTGCTTTATTTAGTTACTCCGTGTTCTTGAAATTTCCATAAGTGAAGATGATGAGTAATTAGTTGATGGCTCCAATTTGAAACGATATGGAACGTTACAGTGACAATCCCAATTGATGGATCAGACGCTAAGGCCGTATGCGCTTTCTATTACTGATTCTCTTGACTAACCGCTTAATACACCATTTGGAAATGGTCTCTCTTATTAGAATAAGCGTGACGTAATTAAGAGTCACGACTCACAGACTAGAAGACTCGCAAAACACAACCTTGTCGGTACCTCCCTGCATTACCTGTATGGATGTAAGTATGCTTCTTCATGTCGCTTTTTTGGTGAAACCTTTTACCGCAATACTGGCAGGGATAGGGACGTGTGTCCGAGTGAATGAGAAGATGGGTTGACAACGTAGACGATCTCAAATGCTTGTTTAGGATATGATGTGCTTCAGAATTCAGTGGTTTCCTCAAACAAAGATACTCAACCTCTTAAACGTTTTTCCGCACTGACTGCATTTGAACTGCTTATCCGTAGCGGGATTATTTTGATGTTGCTGAAATACGCGAATTGTGTATCAAACAGAGCGCATTTGGCGGTATCCGCAAACTTACTTCATGATCAGCATTTGTTGAATTGATTTTTGCACATTTGATGCATGAAAAAAACATTTCTGCAGAATGGGATGGTTCCTCGATTCGTTCATCTAATTCACTTTTGTAATTAAACATTTCTAGAATTTATTGTAAATCTCTGATTCATTGGGATCATCTTATCCGAGTGAAAGAACTAACCACGCTTTTCGCAAGCTATTCGTGGAAGAGCCATTAAACTGAGTGTACTCTGCTTCAAACTGCGTTCCCAAAACATTGGCATAGTAGCAACAGCGAGACTCCTTGTCGTACTTCCAAGATCCGAATTCACTGTAGAGAACAATCGCGTGCACTGATGAGGAAAAATCATCGGAAACATTGCTTAAATAAATAAAATTAATTTGAAGAATTAGCAATTCATCTTAGCTTTTAATTTATACGGTGTCCCTCAATTCAACATTGCATGATTCCGAAAAGTAATTAAATCACGTCTGTCCCAACGACAGCATACGATATGTGGGGCGGCTATGACGACAGCTGTGAGATTTAGCCCCGCCCTTGGCGCTCGCAACTCTTCACTACGGTAATGATCGTGTCATTTCGGCAAAGTTTTGCTGAAATTTTCACTACGAACGAGATATAAGTAGAGATTACATGAAAAGACTTTTGTGCTGGGAGCATGCAACCTAAACTGAACACTGAATATCAAAAATTCTCAGTGGTTCATTAGCAAACGCTCATGAGGGGGTGGCATATGTGACGAATTTCCATTGGCATCGGTGGATATATGAATACGAAGCGAAAATGTGACAGTACATACAGAAAAACCTACCTTGCTGCATAAGCGCAAGCTTTTGTTGGAATGCCAAGGTCACTCCCAACCTTTCCATTATCTCACGTCCACATTGTAGAGTATGCTCACACGATGACAACGGCCTCTGCTTTTCAGCCAACAAATTGGCAACCGAATAAATACCGCCAGATAGTTTGTGGGTAATATGCATCAATAATTCGCCGTACCCGCTTCAAGATGACGTTTTGTGAAAGGGTAACACGAAAATGCAGAGAAGAGCAGAAGGAACGCAGTAATGAACGCTGAAACATTGACAGCATTCTTTTCAGATGAATATTTTTGTTTCAACGGACGAATTATGACTTATCCAGTGAAACTTGTTCAAAGTTTGATTGCTAGGTCTAATGGGGCTCAATCCGAACGAAGGCATCTTGAGCCAAACAGGCAGTTTTATATAGCATTTAACTTATTTCCGCCATATGCACTGTCATATACCAAAATGATTCAACTAGTGCATGTAAAAAATCTCAAAACAATACTGGATCTAAACGAAGTTCTATTTAGGTGGCAGATAAAAGTAGGGTTCATGTGTTTCATGAGTTGTATAAGCCCCGTTTTCTGCTGAGAATGAGTTCATTTACTTCATTAATGTAGAATTGAACTTGTTGGAAAAAAACAACAGAGATTCTGCAACAAGAACAATTAAAGTTCTGGAAATGAGCAGGTTTTCGTCTGTGGATGTGCAACGAGAGTAGTTGCGAAAGAGAGGAGGGAGTGTGCTTGTGATTGGCTGGCGTTCTGTTGCCACTGGTCCTCCCCACATTTCTGCTGCTCCTCCTCTCTCGCCACAACGCCGATTTACTGGAATTTGGGATCGAAAGAGCACTCCTTTTTGTGACTTGTCACTCTTGCTCACTTCTAAATTGAATCACACTTTGCGATAATCGCTCAGATTGTTCACACTTCCTACGTTATTGAATGATCTGGATGCTTATGAACAAATCGCTGATGCATTAGCAGTAGCACTAATGCGAAGTCAGAAACTGAAAAATGGATTTTGAAGGCAAAAACCGTTTCGGAATCGCGGATGATATCGATGATGATGAAGAAACCATGATGAGGCAGTTCACCTATTTCCAATGTACCCATGCATAAATGATCAACTCATTCAAAAAAAAAGATGGTTAAACGAAGATACAAGCTATCTAGGAACACCCACAAAGATAATGCATTAAGAAAGGCATGATGAAGTAGTGAGTTTGCACACAATTGTCAAAAGAGTAGCATCCATTTCCTCCAGAATATAGATCAAATTACATGTAGTAAAAAATATCAAAAAATTAAGGAAAATGGAAAAAAATGGCTCTCCTATAGTAATTCTTTTTTAGAAACTTGGTTATCTAGCCTTTGATTGGTTCTGCTTCTCTGTATCGTTGAATAACTTTCTGTACGGTCACTGCTGTAATCAGGAAAACTTCACTCTGCCCTCCCGCCTTTTGTATGCGAACGATTGCGAGTGGCATGGAATGATCCTTAGTATCCAAAAGATACTGGAAGTTCCACCTCAGTGATGAAAATCGCAAGAAAATTTTGTACATTTAATTAATAATAGATAATGAAGGGGCATGCGTGAGATGGGTCAAAGCTTGCATATTTCCGAATTTTTGCAGAAATCGCTACCGTAGACTTTCATCACTAAGCAACTTACTCTGTCCCATCATCCTATGCATCCTGAAGAAATGGCAATTTATTTCAATCAACCTTTCGTTAAAAATGCATACCGCTTCTTGCACATCTAATTACCACGAATATCCAGACGTAATCGATGAACTCTTCCTCCCTCCAGCATATTCTCGTATAAGCACTTCTATTCCTAGTCGTTTCCCCCACTAAAATAGTTGTGCTTCACAAATGAGACGACTATGCTGGTCCTGAACTCTTTACCATGAGCCGATTCAAGGTGTACCGAGCACACCTTGGCCTTCATCAAATATGAAGAATGTGAAGAGGAATTGGATTACAAGGCCGTCATGCGTTCCTCAAATGCATTTGTATAGAGAGGAAAATATAGATTCGTTCAAAACAACTTAGAAAAATTGAAGAGTTCTGACGCAAATGTTAAACACAATCTTGAAACAATAGACAAGGTGTGATTGTGGGAACGAGTAATTTCGCTCAATTGATTGTCCTCAATAAATATTCGAACGAAATTGAGCATCTCCTATTACAGTGAAGCACTCTGAATTGGCATAACACTCTCCAAGAGTGTGTTGGTCCATTACCTTGATTAGGTTTGCATGCACCTGAGTGAAATCTTGCTTTTCCTCAGATGCTCGCAACTATCACCCCTTCCAAGAAAAGATGCCATGGAAAAGTGGTATTCGTAGTGGAACTTGAGCTGCAAACGTGTCCTTGAGTGCTTATCACCAAATCTAATTTTAAAATTTAAATTTGCATAACGACTCTGTGACTAGAACAAATGCACAGTTCTAGTTGAAATTGGTTTCTGAGATTTCTCTCTAAAGTGATACTGTGACCCCCCAAGGATAGCTCAAGGGACGCTGTCGGGTCGAAAAACGGCCAAGATAGGGCGTAATAAGGTCTTCAGAACAGACCAAGCTGATGACACGCCCAAGGTGGACGAGTTCTTAGGCGTTGCAGAAGCTGCAGAGGTTGCAACATTTGCATGGGACTCACACCTGTACGCAGGCAACATATTGCATCCAGATCTATGCAATGTCACGCTCATCCGAACAGCATGGCTAGATATCCCATGCAACTTTTTTTCGTAGCACTTCCCCTAAACAATCCCTGATTTCATTTCTTCTTTTAAGCCTTATATTTCTCTAAATACGCCGGAATTCGCACTTCTTCGCCACTTTTGCACTATTCTGTGCCATCACTTCCAATACTTGGCTGAAACTAAATATCTCGACATTTTCGTGAGCAGTGCCTTTGTAACTACGATCAGCTGTCCAATATGTAGCTTGTGAGGTGGCCTTGCACAACGATATAAAAAATTTCTGTTGCTGGTGCATTTTTTCTTTGTTTTTGTGATGACCAGTCAGTCGAAGACAACACAGCGTAGTTAGTTCGCCAATGCTCATCCGCAGTCGGATTTATGAAAATTATTAGACTAGCTGCCCTGTTCTCGTTGCTTCGCCATTGTGATACAGCAGTGGACGGCTGTTTACTTGATGCATCTAGCGCAGGAAGGCGTGCCGGCTGGAAGCCGTCGATACGGACGACCATTATTGCAATACGTTGGTGGTAAAAACTTCGTGCAAAACATATCTATTTCTATTTGATCTACGAACAGGCCTGCCGGTCACGACCATTAGGCACGCATAGAGGCAGCTGTTTGCCTTTGATACGTTTTCTTACCACTTTTTTGCGTCGTGCCATCCAAGAGTACTTTTAGAGGTTGATTTCAAACTGATTCTAGGGAAATTCCTATTTCAGTTCTTTCACTCATTTCAACTTAGAGTTTTTGATTGCAGAATGCAATTCAAAGCGCTTCTGACGGGACTCACTAGTCTGCTTGCACATCCCAATAATCTGAGTTACAGAAAGCTGGGCAAAAATGCTTGATCTAAACCCATTCATGTGAAAGGAAGAGCAATATCACATATTTGTCAAAGTGGAGAAACACTCTGCCAAGTGCTATTATCTAACCATTATATGGAAATGATAATGATGATCAAGGTTAGGGTAATGAGAATAACGAACTAATTCGCAGACTCCTTTCTTGAAATACGGCTGTGAACAGCTCATTCATAATCATGCAGACGGAGAGGAAGGGGAATACCTACGCAGTGACAATACGGACAAACCGTGTGCAATTATCTTTAGTGAAAAATGTGCCACCGCGGTGCAATGCTCCGAGAGGATGAATCACGACCACGACTTCCATAATACCAAGTCCATAGCTACGCCTTCCCTATTACGGTAAGGTGGGAACTGTGTCATATTTGACAGCCCCTCGGTTACTCCTAAAAACTAGGAGTCAAACTACTCTTAACTCGGAGCTACAGCAGGCATAAAAGGGCATTCCTGATAAGTACAGGGTGACCCACATGAAGCGTGACGGGCAATCAAAAAATCGATTTTTGGCTTCCCCTTTTTTCCTTTCGCTATATTATGTGACCATTTTATTTTACCGCATTTTTTGAACGTTTGTGGACAGGCTTATTTGCTAATCCTTGGTAAAAATGGTTTCGCTCAAATTTCGTTCAGCTGTAGTCACGATGTGCAAACGCGGATCGATAGCTTCCGAGATTTAAAAGACGCTCGAACTTCATCGAGAGCAAGTACGTCGCGTTATAAAGCGATCCGAAGAGACAGGAAAAATAGAAAATCGTTCAAGAGTAAGACCACAAAGAACTGCCAGGACCCCTACCTTTCAGAAGGTTGTCAAAGACAAACTGCATCGAGATCCTGAGAGAAGCATGGCAAAATTGCTCAAGGAACGCAATATGAGCAACTCAACCATGCGAAGACGGTCAAAGAGGGCATCAGGTTATATCCTTACAGATTTGCGAATGGGACAATTTGAGACAATTCCTAAGGAAATAAAGGCATCAAGTTTGGAAAAATGCAAGGAGATGAATGCCCTTGCGCTCAGTGAAAGCCTTAAACGAATCTTCTTCACAGTCGAGAAAATATTTACCCTTGGACCGTTCCAAAACGCGCAGTCCCAAAAATATCTCCAAGAGTAGTCGAGGTCGAGAAGTCTCATTATCCACAGTTGGTGATGGTGTGGGTTGGAATATCGGACCTCGGCAAGAGCAAAATGGTCATTGTGGAAAAAGGAGTGACAATCAATGCCGAACTATATCGAAGGCAGATTCTGCCATGCTTCCGGCTTTTTGGACGAAGGAGTTTTGGCCTTCAAGCTCTCAATCCTCTGGATTCGCCTGTGTAGTTGATTCTAGAGCAAAGAGCCTAAGCTATCAAACATCGGTCTTTGGACTTTATAAAAAAAAAGCTCTTTTGAGAGTCAGTTTTGTCATAACTGACTTGAAGAAGAAGATACTATCGATTCCTGGGTGGCCTATTTCTACTCCTTGGGCCAAAGAACAAAGTATTACAAAACATCATTCTCGCTAGATCACCTATGGCTCGAGACCTACGATTTTCGTGTTCGCGAAAGTCTCGATAAGCTACATTGTCCACGCCCTCACGAGATTCAGTGCAGCAACTTCCACGTTC